GGTCAGTACATACCAGGACACAAGTACACAGTGTGCTGCACTGACTGGTGTGAGAGGAGGCTGCTAAAAGCACAATCCTCTTCTCATGGTGTGGCTGTCTCCTGACAGTTTCCTTGTATAGTAACTGAACCCATCATTTTAGAAGATGTAATATATTCAAGTCTTGGTTTGCTCTAAAGCCCATGGCCACAAATAGTACCTGGACAAATAAACAGTAATGTTTATAGCAGAGAGAGGCTGCTTGTGAAGATGGACTGTTTGAGTTACGGATCCAGCCATATGTGTTCTGTGGGCAGTTGGGATGTTACCCTGAAAATGAGAATGTGAGTCAACTTGGTGGTCCTCTCTGAATGCTCAACAGGAGTGACCCTGATATTCTGCTTTGTATTCCTGTGTTTAACAGAACCATATAATAATTTGGGTTGGAAGAAACTTTCAAAAGTCTTTTAGTCCAACAGTCCTGCAAGGAGCATGGAGATTTTCAAGCAGATCTGATTGCTCAGAGCCCCATCCAGGCTGACCTTGAATGTTCCCAGGGATGGGGCATTCACCACCTCTCTAGGCAACCTGGGCCAGTGTCTCACCATGCTCATTATAGAAAGCTTATTTCTTACACCTGGTCTAAATCTACCCTCTTTTATTTTAAAACTGTCAGCCCTTGTCCTGTTGTTACACACTTCAGTAAAAAGTTTGTCTTTCTTGTTGGCCCCCCTTACTGGAAGGCCACAATCAGGTTTCCCTAAAGCCTTCTCTTCCCCAGAATGAGCAAACCAAGTGTGTTTAGCCTGTCCTCATACAGAGAGGTGTTCCATGCTTCTAAACTTCCAAATGGGTAGTGATGGTATTCTTTGGCTTCCCTTGTGGAAGAGCTATCCTTTCCTTATCCTGGAGCTAAAGTTAGTGACATTCACAAATTTCTGAGTTCCTCTCTACCAGTATTATTTGTTTCTGAGCCAAAATGAACTGTGGTCAATGAGTATCAATAGAAAATTGTTAGTGGAGAATTTTTTTAGGTTTATAACTGTACCAAAAATATTTGTGTCACATACGAAAAATCCTCTTTACTGACATGAGTGTATGTTTTTCACAGGGTGCTGCAGGAGTCCCTGGTTTGGCAGGGGCTGCAAGAACCAGTTATTCCTGCTTTGCTATGTAATGATGCCTCTTGTCTGCACCCCAAGGTGCACCATTTTTAACACCTAGAAATGCTGTCCAGGTTCTAATTGAAAAACTGAAACATGAGCCTTAAAATGAGAAGTATCAGCCTCATTTCAAAAGTTTCTAGTTACTTACAGCCTCAAAGAGCTGCCTACTAAGATTTCTAAGAATGTTTCTGTGCTTAACCTCTATTACTTTTAGTTGTTAAGAATCTTTTTAAAGTCTGTTTCTTTGGGAACCTTTTGAAGTTAAGTAAGGGTAAATCTGAAGGAATGGTGGGAGTGTGAAATGGGACAAAATTGTAATTTGAAACCTGGATTCTTAAACTTTTTCTGAGATTTTTCTATATTGCACTTGCCCTTGCCCTTTCAGTTGATGTAATATGAGATAAGCCTGTATAATGCAAAATATGGAGAATGTTTTATTCATTTTTGCTGCAAGTGCTAAAAAGGAAAAAAAAAAAGCACCCCAGAAAAAGAAAATAAGTAAAGCCTTTAAAAATTGTATTTATAGTATTGGTTTCAAAGCCTTGCAGGCAGCATCTCATGAAGGTTGTCTAAATACTTGCATCAAGTATTTCAGTAGTCTTTCAGTAAGAATTTAATGTGAAGTTATGCTGTAATTATACATGCACACATCTTTGAATTCTTAAACTCTGAATTTTAATGGATCTTAGAGGAGCAGCTGAGATTTTGCCGAAAAAGAAGAGTTCTCTAGTCTAAAGGAATGCCTTTTCTGTTCCTCCCTGCCCCCTAAATAGTGGTGGAGAGGGCACTGTCAGGCTGTTACAGCATTTGGGCTTTGTCTGCTGCCATCATCATATTTACTAATACAGATTTGTATCCATAATTTAGCTGAAGATCTCTTTGCCAGTGCATAGCTGAACACTTCTAACTCATTTGGCAGTATGTGTTGGCATAGCAGTCATCATGGAAGCAAAATGTATGTTTGTATTTGGATCTTGTGGCAGATGTGTAATACAACAGAGCTACTGCTTTGGCATGGGCACTTTCCTGGCTCTACCCCCATTTGAAGTGTTCCCTGGTTATGATCTGTGATTGTGGCTGATATTGATGTTTATCTGCCTTTTCAGAATGAAAATAGCATCATTCTCTTTTCCACTTTTTTTTTTGTTTTGTTTGTTTTTCTTTTGGTGTTTCAAAGATAGCACAGCATCATACAAGCACAGTGGAAACAAAACTTTATAATACACTTTTTCTCAACTTCTGTATGGGTTCCTAAAACAATTTGTAACCCATCTATCTCATTTGGTAGCTGAAAAGCTGGGGTTTGCAGTCAGGGCATTAGAAAGTGCAGGTGACTGAATTGCTGTGCAGTCTCAAGTATGTTTAAATTATTCTGTGTGAGTAAGTATGTATGTCAGGGACAAAAATTATAGAAGAGGAAATATATACTTGCTCCTCTTTTTTACTTTCTTTTGGTAGAACTTGGGGCAAAAGAATGAGTTTTGCAGAGTGAGCTTAAGGTGCGTATGTAGTTTGCCCTCAAAACAGGGTTTAACTTGTCTTTTTGGCTAACTTAATTTCCCAAATAAAATTTGTGCTTCCGAAGAAGCAGCACTCTGTTCATTTTGCATTTACAGGGATTTTTTTAAACAGAAATTTCAACTAGGCTCCTTCATTTCTGCCTTTTTGTTAATATTAATGTTACACCATCGAATTGGAATGCTGTGTCTCAGTTTTAGTTGTCTTTGTGAAGGCAGAGCAGAATGAAGACAGGAGAAAGTCTGAAGACAGACAGGGCTGGAAGGAAGGAGAAGCAGCAGTAGCTTAACTGATTGTTTGCCTTTGCCTTACACAAATGTGGCCATGCAAACACCACACATTGAACAAACACACTAAAAACTGATAAAATAAAACTTGGTAATGGGATATTGAACTGTCTTTGTAAGTTAAATTCTGGCTGTATTTAATTAAGTAAAAATGATGTTTCAACCATGGTACTTTGCCTTATTATTAAATGAAGGGAAAATGTAGGATGAAATAAAACTGTTGCTGCCTTACTTACTGGAGCTTTTCTTTCCCCTTGTCCATATGTGTATTTTGAGAACACAAAGCATAACAAATAGTGTTTGCACTTAGTTCTGAATACAGTGAGGTCCACGATCACTCTTCTCTCTGTGAAAGCAAGCTTCAAAGCCTGCCTGGCTGCCCAGAGACTTTGCATTTCTGCACATGTGATGGATGGCTTCGTTGCTCTAATAAAGCATGGCTGTTGTTGGAGGTTGTGGTCACAGGAGAAATGCAATCCATCTTTAATGAGGGGCAGTTCTACAGAGGCCTTGGATGCCAAGACAGAGATGGAGCATTTCATTTTTCATTTGATGTAGAGGGCCAGTGCAGAGACACTATCTTGTTCTATAATTTTTTTTTTTTAATTACTGAGAAGGTGGGAGCTGTATCCGGTAGAAACATTAACCACTCCAGATATTTTGGCTTAGGTCCCAAGTGTAATGAATCTGGAGGTTGCAAATGTGTGTATTTCTATGGCCGGATCGCTGATGAGGTAGGGAAATCAAACCTCTGGCCATGCACAGATGGTGTTAGACTTGCCTGTCTGAGCATCCATCCTTAGGAACTGAGGTCTCACAGGCTGCATGCTAACTAGCAGACAGTGCCTGTAATCAAGGGGAACATTATGGCCAAGGGAAATTCTTCAGAGCAATTCCCATCAATTCACATAGTGAATGTGTCTTTTGAGTGCCTCTGATAAGCAGGAACTCCTGTTAGGGGAGAATCTGAAGGTGGATCTTTTCATTGGTCAGGCAAATTCTGTTACATGTATGCCCTGCTCTTTGTTTTCTAAATACTTGCAGATGTTGGACATCGGTTGTGATGAGGGTTACTGGGCCCTTTTCGTTCAGATCAAGAAGCAGCAAATTAAGAGTAGCAGCTTTTCTTCACTGCATTAGTTGTAGTTGGAATAGTGTACGAGGCATGTAGAACTACACACGTTACCAGTCTCCTTGCACATTTAGTTTGGTTTTTAAGCTCTAAAAATGAGATCGTTCTATCATGGTGAATTTATTTGGTATTTTAATTATATTGCCTAAAAACTGTGTCTGAATACTGTGTATATGGCTGTTTGAGAAGAAGGTAAAATGCTTTCTCTAAGCATGAAGAATGCTAATTATCTTTTTCCCCTTAGCTTCTGCTCTTAGACCTGTGGGAGACAGACGTTATTTAGCAAAGGGAGGGATGAACATCACTTCTTCCAGGCTCATAAGTTAAAACGTGAAATGTGTCTGCTGTGGTTCATTGACATGTCTGTTCTTAGATTTGTTCTTTCAATAATCATCTCTGAAAGGTGGCAGGAAACACCAGCACTGTCAGTACAGAATCAAAACTAGGAGAGAGCTGTGTATTCACAAGAAAATTGGAAATTCAACTCATGCTTAGACTTTGAAAACCAAGATATATTGTATACCTGTTCCCTGAACTCATCATTCAGGAGTATAATATATTCTATCATCCCAATTGTATCTTTCTTATGCTTGTTTCATTTATTTAAGCGTTGTTTAGTTTAACAGTTTTTAACAAAACAGGTACAGATTTAAGTATCTAAGGTAATGCTGGTGCTGGACTATAGTTAAAAATGTGTTTTCCTTTGGAATTTAATAATTTGGCAATTGACCTGTTTCTTTTCAGACAGATTCTTGTGCTGTATTCATCATCCTGGTATTGGAACAAATGGCACATAAACTCTTTTAGAGGAGAGGAGGGTTTGCATGTACCAATATTGAGTTTATTTGAGGTTAATATTTCTTTAAAAATATATTCTTGGAAGCAAACATTTTTGCTGTATTTTTATTTGTCTTTCAGGTTGATCCAGCTTTGAAAGAAAAATTAAAACAGAATCCTGTGACATTGGAATCTGAATATGAGGTAAAATAAATTTGTTGCCTGGGGCCCATAACCTTGGCTACCCTTGATTACCCTGGCCGCTGGTGGGTCGTATCTGTCCCTAACTAAAATTAGATCAACCATCTGCCTTTGACTCACTGATGTCCAATAAAAACAAGGTTTTATGCAAAGAAAGGTTTTTGAACACGTAGTGCTTCTTTCTGAACACAGCTTTACTTTGATTTCCAGGCGTCAAGTACAGTGGTACAAATAAATTCACTATTTCTGTGGTTAACCTGGTCTATAAATGTAGAGTTGATGTTGGCCTTAGAGGGAGTGTGTGTGAATGTAAGTCAGCACTTCTACTGCATGAGCTTGGATGATTAGACGAAATTACAGAACAATGTGCACAATGTACTTTATGTTATTTCTTGCTTCTGAAATTTATGTGTATCTTTGAAACAACTGTCATTCCTTTTACATGGTTTCAGAAAATTTTATAGAAAAATAGTTCACTCTTCCATCAACACAGCATTTTCTTCAAATATTACTGAGTTCTAAAATGTCTGTTTTAACTAGTTCAGTATCCAGTCTCATGAATTTTCAGGCCTACAAAAAGCCATGTTAGAAAAACTGAATAAAAAACCTCCCTGTTATCAGAAACAAAGAATATAGCTATTTAAGATTATTCTTAATGTTTTAAAATTAATTGACTCAAGTGTCCAACTAACACTTCATTTATCTCTGTGGCTTTTATTCTGAGCACAGATTTTTGTTTTCTTCCCATACCGCATTTCTGTCACAAGCCTTTGAAGATCTCCATGGCACCCATTGCTCTCATACTTAGCTGTCCAAATGGCAGTACCTGATCTTGATAATAAAATTTTACTATTCTATTACTCTTTTGTAATTTGTCTGAAATAACAATAAAACTTTCTTTTTGTACATTCACAGACCTAATTTCACAAAATATTTGCTAATTTTTACCATTATTGCAAATAGTTTCGGGCTCTCCCCCGCTATAAAGAATTGTGATTTCTGGTGCAGGGAATAACAAGTGGAAAGTTCCAATGGAGACTCAAAACTTACAAATCCATTAAGTTCTGATTGCTTCTGGGATTACTGTCTCTCAGTTTCCATTCAATATATTGTAAGGCTGCTCTGATTTATTTATGTGGAAGAAAAAATAAAAAGAACCACAAGCAGTAAAAAGAACCACATCTCAAACTCAATATCTAACCTCAAAATCAACAGATCTGTATTCAGATATACCATACGCTTTCTTCAGAAGATGAGTAAATAGGTTAAGGATAATATTTACATAGCCATAATTTCATTATCTTTATGGATAAATCAATGCTAATAAAATACATCTGGCATAACAATATATTACAAGCCTTCTTAGGTAATGAGACTCTTTTCTGATGGACAGAAATGACAGAAGCAATCTTATTTTTTCTTAATCTAAACTGTGGAGAATTCCCAGACTGAAAGTCTTCCAGAGTAGTGCTTGGGTGTTATAGAGGGCAGATCAGTTCAACAAAACAAATGGATTTGCATAATGAAAATAGATTTGGATTATTGTTTTGAAATCTAATATCAATATATACTTTATTCTGGGCACCAGCTTGCAAGCACATTTAAATTTCTTGCTTCAGTGAAACTTGTGAAACTACCAGCAGTCATGCACACAGTTTGCAGGCTCCACGCTAAGTGTGTGACAACATTAAGTCACTGTTACCTCTGTATTCTGGTGGATAAAATCTAACCAATCACCCCTTTACAGCTGACATTTAGGAGAGTAGTTTTCTGTGGACCCCATCTTTTCCAGACTAGAGGGGTTTGGGTGGACGTTTTTCTCCTTTCTTTATTTTTGACTTGTCCAAAATACAGCTGTTAGGAACACCTTCTAATTCAATATATAGGTCACATTGAAGGATTACACTGGTGGCTGTTACTAAATGTGGTGTGATAAGAGATCAAGGGCAGTTTAAAAAAAAAATGCTGTTTCGATATGTAAAGCCTTATTTTACAATATTATTAGCATTATATCTGCAGCTGTTACTGAGGATACCATGCCAGCTCTTTTGAAGCGTGGTTGCCTGAAAAATGCAAATGTCCTTTGGCCCTCCCCAAGACTTTTAAAAATATCTTACTGTCCTTACAGAAATGTGCATATTGAATTCATACTGAATTCTTCTAGAATGTCATGATTTCTTCTATAAGCATACAGATATGCCAATATTTCAAACATGTTGAAGGCTGCATTTTGTCTCTGATGTGGTGTTCATGATGAAGTAAAAAGATATAATCACAGACCTAATTTATTGTGAGGAAATTAACATGAAGACATTTTCTTACCTTCTCATTTACTAAATTATATCTTCTCAAACTATAAAATGTTTAATTCATACAGGAATGTTTCTGGTCAGGATACTATTTTGAGGAAGGAAGAATTTACATGTGAATTCATACTGCATTTCTTGTATCTCAGATTTGTTAATAATGGCATTTATCTTGTGTCTTGGGCCATGCCAGAGGAGCAAGCTACCTTTGCATATACTCTCCATTGTTTATGCATTCCTCTCACACACTTTTGTGTCCTCATATGACCAGTTAGTCCCTGCTGCTCCCCTTTGCCTAATAAATCACAGCTCTGTCCACTAGTGATGCTGGTACTAATGTGAATGTAGTTCTGCTGCTGAGCTGGGCCTTGTAGAACACACTGTAAAAGATGTTGAGTGTTTGACCTGTGACAAAAGCCTGAGTATTTTATTTGAAAGGACAAAGATTTGTTTGAAAAAGGGAGATAAAAAACCTGATTAATATGATGAGTGAAAACCATTCTTGTGGTTGTTTAACAGTCACAGTACATTCCTCTTCATGTGTTTAATTCAGTCTCAAAATAGCATTCCTTATTCTAGCACTTGATTTCTGTACTTCTGTGAAATTAATGGTCTAATAAACACTAAAAAATCTGGCCTCAGTTACATCAGACCCTAAAATATAGAATTGTTGTTAAGGGGTTTTCTAGCAAATAAAAGCTTCTTTAAGAATTTACTAACACTTTGCTGTGGAAAAAAAATCATTTAAGTTTGACTCAAATATGTGATATTCAGTGGGAATCAATAGCAATTGAAAGTAGAGGAAAAAATATTCCAATAAATAAAAACGTGAAGGATTGCTATGGAAACAGTAAATGAGTTAGTCATAAAGCAGGGAAGACTGATAAAAGATGCTAAGGGCATCAGAGCTGTCTGATAAGTAATCTGACAAGGATAGGGGTAAGAGGATGGTGTTGCTGCAAACCAAGAATAAAATAATCAGGATGTAAAATAATGAGTAACCATGTTGGCAAAGTAGCAACATTCATAAATGTATCTGTATTTTTTTAGAGAAAAAGGTCCTTTGTATATGAATCAGATGTGCTTCCAAATCCCTTAATAATCAAACAAGATGTTAAATACCTACTAGACTCTGCTGGTTTACAGCTATATTCTAAGAATGGGCTTGGAAGACTTCAGTGGCTGCTGAAAATTTCAGTCTGGGAATGATGGTTCTCTGGGAATCATCACTAGGCAGGAAGGTGATAATATTAAAAGAGTTCTGGGAAATTTGGCACATACAGGCACTTTTGGGTACTTTTTTCAGTGATGTGGAAGAAATTATGAAATCATTGCTAATGTGCCAGTGATAAAATATTGCAATAGTATAACTATGGCAAAGCAGGGAGGGAGAGCTGTTCATATTACTTGCTAACATGGGCCTGTTAAAAGTGCTAAGTACCTTTTAGAGTAACCAAAGTTATTTATTTAAAAAACTGAAAATGCAGGCTAGGGTGGACTGCGTTCTGAAAAGCAGCAACTCTGGAAAAGATTTAGGAGTCGGTGAATAAATAATTCAGCTTGATCTTCTAGTGTGATCTTGTGGCACAAAAGCTAATTCAGTGTATGAATATGAACAGGAATGGTAGATATAGGAACAGGTGATTGTACTTCTGAGTGTGGCACTGATGAGGCTGGGACTGAAATTCTGGTTCTCCTTTAGGTATCTGGGTTTTGAACAGGGCTTTAAGAACAGATTGCAGAACAGGCTGACTGTACTAACTTAGAGCTCTAAAAATTCCTTAAAAGAAAGTTAAAGAGTTAAATAATATTAAAGGTACTGAGAAGAATGGTGTTTTCATATAAATATTTCCATAGGAAGAAGGTGATAGCAATTGAACATTTTTTACTGCAGAAAATATAGTAAAATTAGAAGTAAGATCTGTTCTTAATAGCTGGGAACATCATTTGAACACAACAGCAAGAAAAATGAGTCTTCTATGTTTCAGAATATCAAAACTGTAAAACTTTACAAAGTTTTCCTTCAACTGGTTGCAAGGATGGCATAATTGACATAATGGTCAAATAGTCTGCAAATGGTCAGACTAGAGAATGCTGCTTTCTTGACTTAGAGTATGAATGTTGGGAAGGTTTCGTTCCTAATAATTTGATAAATCACAAAAAGTCAACAATAGCTCTGGACAGAAGTGTTTTAATTGTTTGTCCTGAGAATTACAGCAAAAGATTTGTAATTGCAGTATTAAAATGTATATTGAGGACAGTTGAAAATATAAAAGTAGGTGTAAAAAGGAGAGGTGTTTTGGGAATATAACCTATATATTTACTGTCTTAAAAGAAGAATTTGATTAAGCTCTTCTGAAAAAGACTCAGGCCACTTATTGCTCATTTGACATAACTTCAGGGATTGTGGTGCCAGCAGAATGGATGAAACTTTTTTTTCAGGGGGTGACAGTGTAGTAACGCAGTAATTGCATCCAAGTGTGTGGACAACAGGAGTGCTCCAGAAAGAAATTCCTGGATGCCAGTCATTGATATCTGCAAGTGTCTTGTTGCTGTCATTATCAGTTCCAGAGGATTACTGATTTTGTTGCTGTTCAAGAATTAACAGATTAGTGTACTGAACTGATTTGCTTCAATGTCTGTGAAGATATTGGTGGCTAAATGCCTTGAGCTGTTTGAGAGCTGACGGAGATGTTG